TATTCTTAATATTAATTAATATAAAAATAGTACAATAATTATACAAGCACGCACTAGAAAAACCAAAAAAAATAATAATAATAACATGGTTGCGGGCTTGTGAATTAGCTGAGCTGAGCCGAGCCGAGAAAAGCCGATGAGCAGTTTGTTCGACTCAATAACGTTAACTGTGATGTCTGAAATTGATCGTGTCCGATTGGTGACTGGGATTGCATTGGCTATAATTTTTTTTTTTAATCCAATAAAAAATAATTATTTTTTATTTTTTATATTATTTTATTCATATATATTATGTGATTTAAATTTAAAATTTTTTATTTTTAATAAAAAATAATTATTAAATTATTTAAATCGTATTAATCGTAAATTTGCAGGTTAATAATCTACAGCAACCACGTGCTCAAAAATGAGAATTTTCTGGATAACCGTCAGTCCTTTTAGCATTCTCTCCTCACCGACGTCACTCTTGAAAAATAAAAAAAAAACTCTTTCTTTTCTTCAACCACTGCCACATTTCCTTCTTCCACACCAAACAAACAAACAAGTCAAACTCACATTACAAGACCCCATTTTTTTATTTCTTTATAAAAAAAAAAAAGAAGAAAACTTCATTTCTTCAAGGGATATCAGATTACACTTCAAGGCTTAAAAAAGCTAAAGAAGACGGGTTGTTGGTGCTGGAAGATATAATCCCTCTAATAATTGTTCTTGTTTTTTTCTTTATAATTGTTTCCTTTACCAAATCCCACCCATGAGGAACGACACTTTCTCCTCTTCCTGAGTGCTTGCTGCTGAAATTGCATGTCAACAGTAGTGTACCACCACTGTTTTTTGTACCAACAAGTCCTACCTCCACTTCTCTCTCCTCTTTCCATGTGTTTTGGATCAAACCCTTCAGAACAAAGAATCTTTCTCGTACTGTTCTAGATATTCTTATTTTTCTTGGCCACTGCATATTTTTACTTCTGGGTTTCTCTCAAAATCCTTGAAAGCTTCTGTTTTTATACCTGTTTTGAGTGAGATTCACAAATGGGTTTACTTTTCTAACGATTGGTTAATGGTATGAGCTGTTTCTTGTGGTGTACTGAGAAATTATTGTATCCCACTTCAAAAGAAAGTGGTGAGTTTGTGGTTCTGCTTTGTAGGACCCAAGTGTTTTATGTAAGAGAGAAAACCAGATCTTTACTGAGCTCTTCCAATTCGTTTCCTTATTTTTACAGTCTTCCAAAAACAAGAAACGATAAAATAAGTTTGCCTTGTGTTTGTGTGAATGTCTGTGAATGTCTGTGAATGTCTTTCTTGCGGGTTCTTTGGTGAGGGTTTCAAGGTTTTTTCAGCATTGATAAACAAAACATTTTCTTGATAATATAATAGGAAGACCTAATCCTTCCCTTTTTCTTTATCCATGAAAGTCAGTGTTCTGATTCTGTACAAGATTAGTTACTTTTAGTCCTGTATTGGGCCGTTGGTCTGTAAATGATGATCAAATCCCGAGCAGTTTCTGTGTACCCAACTTTAAACCTTTAAAAAACATCCAGTAACACCCACCCTTAGATTTTAAGCATTTTTTCTTAACAGAAAGATGTTAGCTTTGAGCTCTGTTTTTACCTTGGTAAAGGGCCCAGGAACAGTGTGGAGAGACAAGACCCATCGGGTTTCTTTCTTGTTTTGGGTACAAGAATCATGAAATAGAGCAGAAACTCATGCTCTTACTGATACTCTTGTGGGAATTTGTTGCTGTTTTTTCCTTTTTGTAAATGAAGAACCCAATATTAGAGTGAGAAAAGATTTGCTTTTGATCTGATTAGGCGGTGGGTATATAGTTCTTTTCGTCTTAGATATCTTGAAAATGGCTTCTGGTCTTCAAACTCAATGCAGAGTTCCTGAGAAATTGAAGAAACAGCTTGCTCTTGCTGTGAGAAACATCCAGTGGAGTTATGCAATCTTCTGGTCCATTTCAGCTAGACAACCAGGGTACTAAATTTTCCATTTTTGCTTTCCTTTCCCTTTCTGGAATAAAATTTAATGAATGTTTTCTTCACAATCAACTTCAATTTTCTCCTTTTTTTAAAACCCTGGATCTGTAATAGATTCTGTTTTTTTTTTTTTTAATTTATTGCCATTAATTTCTCTGGCTTTCAAACAATCTCCTCCATAATTTTATTCTGTGTTGTATTATGGAATTTGAAGATTCTGCTATATTTCCTATCAATTTCTCATAAATTCAGGTTTTTTTTTTTTAATTGTTGAGTGGTTGTATAAATTTCTGTATACTTATTGTCCTCATAAATACATTCTGCCTGCTATTGTTTTTGCTGCAATGCGAACTCTTTCAGGGTATTGGAGTGGGGAGATGGTTACTACAATGGAGATATTAAGACAAGGAAAACAATTCAAGCAGTAGAACTCAATGCTGACGAACTGGGGTTGCAGAGGAGTGAGCAATTGAGAGAACTTTATGAGTCCCTCTCAGCTGGTGACAGCAATCCACAAGCTAGAAGACCCTCTGCAGCATTGTCTCCTGAAGATCTCACAGATACTGAGTGGTATTACTTAGTGTGCATGTCATTTGTATTCAACATTGGGCAAGGGTAAGTAATACTCTAGAACATTCTCATTTTTTATCTTCAGAGAGTTCAAACTTCATACAGTTAGTGTTTCTGATCAATGTTTCATCATAATTGTTTTCAGGTTGCCAGGAAGAACTATTGCCAATGGTCAACCAATCTGGCTTTACGATGCTCATCATGCAGATAGCAAAGTGTTCAGTCGCTCTCTGCTAGCGAAGGTTGGTTGCCTTTCTTACTTAGATCCTTTATCTGCAGCTATGATTTGGCTGATGTGCTTAAAAATGACTCTTTTTCCATGAATGAAACTTTTGGCAACTGGCTTCCTCAGAGTGCATCTATTCAGGTATCAATCTGGTCCCTCTTTGGCCTAAAAATATTAATTTTTGAATTTAAGACAATTTTAATAACTTTAGATTGGTAACTGTTTCTCATTTTTGCATGCTAGATGTTTGAACCTGTTTGAATAACATGGTAAAATTGCTTATTAACCTAAATGCATAACAAAAATTAATTGGTTCGGTAAAGTTCTACTATAGATGTTGTCAATTAAGCCCTCACCCTTCTTGTTTTGGATTTCAGACTGTTGTATGCTTTCCATTTTTAGGAGGTGCAATTGAGCTGGGAGTAACTGAAATGGTAACTTTTGTTGTCAATTTTCTTTTCCTATAATCTGATCTGATTCTAAAATTCAATACATTTCATTTTTAGTGTAAATCAAGCTTCTTCATTGCAATTTGTTTTCTGAAGGTTATGGAGGACCTCAGTCTCATCCAGCATGTCAAAACTTCATTCTTAGATATTCCACACCATATAGTTCTTAATGAATACAATTTTCATGTTGGGAGCACAGCAAATGACAATAAGCTCGCCTGTATTGCACTTGATACTCAGATCCTCGATACAAGTTTAAGTCCACTTGCAGGCTATGAACAACTTGAAATGGCTTCTACTGATACCAGTTCAGATGCACTTGAGCCAAACCAACCAGGAGAAGATTCATTTATGGTTGAAGGAATAAATGGTGCACCTTCTCAAGTACAGAGTTGGCATTTCATGGAAGAAGAGTTCAGTAATTGTGTCCATCATTCCTTGAATTCTAGTGATAGTATATCCCAAACCTTTGTGGATCATGGAAGATTTGTTGTTCCTCCCAAAGCTGACAGAGATAATGAGAATTGTCTGCAAGAAGTTCAAGAATGCAATCAGACTAAACTAACTTCTTTGGATATTCGAAACGATGATCTGCACTATCAAAGTGTTCTGTCTTCCCTCTTAAAGACATCACATCAGCTGATTCTGGGGCCACATTTCCAGAACTGCAACAAGAAATCCAGCTTTGTCAGCTGGAAGAGAGGTGGATTGGCAAATTCTCAGAAACCTAGAGATGGAAAACCACAAAAGATATTGAAGAAGATTCTGTTTGAAGTTCCTCGGATGCATGATCTTGAGTTACTTGAATCTCCTGAGAGAAACGGAGTTAAAGATGCAGCTTGGAGGCCTGAGGCTGATGAAATTGCCACAATCCATGTATTGTCGGAGAGGAAGCGGAGGGAAAAATTAAATGACCGATTTATGATTCTCAAGTCACTAGTACCTTCAGTCAGTAAGGTAGATAAATGATAAATCTTCATTCCTTTCACAGTCCACTCTATGATGTTTATTGCTTTATTTGATCTTTTTACTAATTTGTGCAGGTTGACAAACTGTCTATATTAGATGATACAATAGAGTACCTACAAGAGCTTGGGAGAAGGGTTGAAGTTCTGGAATCAAGCAGAGAATTAACAGAGTTCGAAGCAAGAACAAAAAGAAAACCTCAGGATACAGTGGAGAGAACATCAGATAACTATGGTAATAACAGAAACAGTAATGGGAAAAGGCCTTCAATAAACAAGAGGAAGGCTTGTGATATTGATGAAGCCGAACCAGAGATGGACTACGTTGCCATGAAAGATGGTTCAACCGATGATGTTACTGTCACTGTGAACAATATGGATGTTGTGATTCAGATTAGGTGTCCTTGGAAGGAAGGAATTTTGCTTGAGATGATGGATGCAGCGAGCCATCTCCATTTGGATTGCCACTCAGTTCAGTCATCTACAGCCGAAGGGACTCTCTCCATCACTATAAAATCCAAGGTAGGAAATCCTAGCTTTATTCCTTGCCATAAAAATTTAAGCAGAATCTATTCTTGATGAAATGATGAAGTATCCACTCTAAACAGTGTTATCTGTTCTTTTTTTTTTTTTTTAATGCAGTACAAAGGATCAAAAGTTGCATCAGAAGCAATGATGAAGCAAGCACTAGAAAGAATTGTTGGAAAATGTTGAAGCAGTCTAACTGAATAGTATTTGATTCAGCTGTATAAACATCTCTAGAAGTTTTATGTAGACAATATATCTGCCACAGACCCAAAGTTCTTGGGGATTTTTTCCCTCCGGAGTAGTGAAATAAAGGGAAGTAGGCTTTTTTTTTTTTGTTTTTTTTGCTTTGAACCTTGTAATATTTACCTGCCTTATGTAACCCCTTTTTTGTATTACATCAGAAAAAAAAAAAAAAATTTTAAATCCATCCAAGAAACAACATGACCCTTCTGGTTTCTACTTAACTCAAAAGTGAGACACGAAATGCATAAAGTAGATGATTTTTAAAAGAAAAGAGGCACAAAGCCAGATGCATTGTGCTAAGCACTTGACATTTTATTCATTTTTTTCTGCCCATTCCCAAGTTCCCAACACTATAATTAACTTGCTTAACAGAAAAGGTGCTTCATGCAAATTAGAGACTGAGGACAGCATCATGGAAGTTTGAGAATTTTTCAGGAAATGTTAGGCCATTTTTAACTCTCCAATGTGCATGTGGGTAATAATATCATCTTATCATCAACAAATGCAACTTATTTTTGCTGAAGTTGAACTCATGATGAACGGCAACAAACATAGAAAAATGTGTTCTCTTCCCTTTGTCCTAAGCAAAGCAAAGAGAAGTTTCCTTCTCTGCAATGGCAGAAAGGTATGGGACTTAATTTTAGCAAATAAATGAAAGCCATAAAAACAACCATAAAGGTATGGGACTTTTAAGTTGCAGTTTGTCTGTAGCAAGCATAAACCCATCTCGTTTCTTTTATTATCATCAATATTATTGTTATTTTTAATGTGAAAAATGATGTAAATAAAAAAAAAGAGTCTCCTATCAAATTAATATTGTATAATTTATTATAATTTAAATTATATAATATTTTTTTAATCAAAAAAAAATCTTACTTTAGAAAACAAGGTGGGAAAGAGCATTTTTCTTCATAGTCCACGAAATATAAAGAAAGCGTAGAAGAATCAAAGAGCATTCATAATTCTAACAAAACAAAAAAAGTCTACTAGACAATCTGAGCAAAAAATTCAGGAAAAACTGAATCCTTCACCGTTGAAAATGTGTAGTCACATGTTAAATTATGGTGAGCGCCATTCATGTCATGACGTGAACTCGTGAAGATTTTCTTGTTTTTGTCTTGATGCAAATACAATATTCTGTCTGATCCTTTGAAAAGTTGAACACAATGAAAAACTGTTGAGGAAGAAGACAATAAATTGGAGACCCCAATAAAATCCTTGTTACATTGCACAAGTAGGACCAAATTGGGACCCAACTTCCTTTCATTCCATCGCATCAATGATGAGGCCTTTCAACTCAAAAGGCTTTATGGTTCAAGGAAATATTCTGATAAAACTTGTATTGTATGTATGTACATCCAAAGTGAGTGAAAATGGGACAATTTTCTACCCACAGAGACTCTGTTGTTGAAAGAGTCAAGTAGAGACAAGAAAGAAGTTGGATCCACTACGCAATCAAGGAATCAGCACAATTTACCAAAAAAAAAAAAAAAAAAAA